TTGTGTCTCCAGCTGGCCACACCTGACAGAGCTGCTCAAATAACTCAAGTCCAGATCAGACATTGGCACTGAACAAAGTTTTTTATACTGTAGTATATGCACCACACAGAGGGAGTGATGGTGACAGGGGACGTGGTGACCATGTTTCTTGTTTTGTCAGGTATATGCAAATGAGCTATGGTTTTACCCCATATCATTGTAGTCTCTGTTCTGTATGTGTATCAATCTAATAATATTCTAGCATACCAGTCATTTCACTAGCTAACTCGTGCAAATGTTTAGAGTAGCACTATCCAGAATCATGTCACGGTGACCCTGTGGCTGGCCACGACTGGAGAACGATTGTGTAACATGTTTTTGTTTATTTGCTGAAAATATAATTTATTAGGACTTTCAGTGACATGCCTGCTGCTCATCAGGGTATAGTGCTTTCTATGCATTCGCTGTACACTCAGAGCACTTTCACATTATTTGCCCATTCATCCATTTGCACTCCCAAACACACACACACACACACACACTGGTGGACAGCCACAAGGGGCAACTTGGGGTTCAGCGTCTTGCTCAAGGACATTTCAACACTTGGACTGCAGAAGCCAGGACTCGAACTGCCAAACTGCTCTACCCCCTCTCTACCCCCTGAGCCACAGCTCCCCCAATAGTGAGAGCAATGCCCTCTGATGGTAGTGATCCAACCAAGGAGAGTAGTCTTGTTTAATATTTCATCCTAGACTGCAATTTAAACATAGAAGCTACATTTGGATTCGATTTTAACAGTTTTTATGGATTACCTTCATTTGGTTGCAGCCAAGACAGGTTTTTTTTGTGATTTTAATATAGTTAAGGTTTTAGTTTGTGCTTCACCTGTGTATGTGTGTCACTGAGCTAATGATAACAATAACCACTGCTATGGATTTGAAGCATCTCTTAAAAAAATGGAGGTATGGAGGAACAGTCTTTTTTCTGGCTGCGATGTGAGCAGTAGAGGGTGCAGATCAACACTTTCTTCCTGTGTAGGTTGTCTTTGCTGCAGCAGGCACTGTGATAGACACTAACTTTTTACTGAAGCTAACCTGAGCCACACTAAAACCATTTTACTGACTGTGGCACATGTTTCTTTACAGGGTAAGATTAATTTGTTTGAAATAAAGCAGGTTTAGTTTGTACACCTGTCATTTAGGTTATAATTAACAGTAGTTCACCACTGGTAGCTAGTTTATGATCAATGTGGTGAGAAAACATGGATATGTAGCCTAATATCCTATGAGGCTAAAGTGCTGTAGCACATAAGTCAATGCACAATATGGCTTTTATACATAATATTATGTAGCTACAGTGGTTTTAACTGAAGGTGGATTATACTGTAGCTCCCAAGGGAAGGATGAGAGTTAGCTTGGTATTTATTTTGTTGGGGAACCCTGTAATGAAATATAGGGAATCCACCACAACACTACTGTAGCATCCAATTAATACAAAGGTAATCTTTTCCACAAAATGTACAGTATTTAAGGCTCAGTATTGAGGCTAGCTATCATGACTGATTTTATGAAAATTATACCTCTACACTTTGGCTTTCTGCTGAATTGGGGCATCTAAGAAATGGTGACTGTCCTGTTTGACTGTACATGGGGTCAAACCCTTTAAATTCTGGTTTTGCCATCAACAAGTTGGAGGATGTCTGTCTGCCTGTCCCGACTGTAAAATCCAAAATAACGTCCTTGGATTGGGGTCACTATGACAGAAGCCACTTTGCACTAATTCTCTTCATTGTATTTGTATTTTCTCTTAAGTGTACTGTGAAGTATTTCGACAGGTCAGCTGCTCACTTCTGCGCTAGTGCCACTATGAGCCCAGCAGAAAGACGGCTCCCTGCTGTTATATCCCATCCCATCATCAATATGTAGGTCTTCTGTATGGCTGAGGAGCCCATGTTCTCTGTCCTAAAATAACTACAATAAATCTCAAAAAAAAAAGTGGTGTTTGATTTCAAGACAAGGATCAGCCAGTTTTAAAAAGGCACTGAGATAGAAAAAAAAGACAAAGCAGTACATTAAAATGGCAATTCTTTATTTACAATAGTTTCACAGAAACAGTTTGCGCCACAGTACAGACAACGCTTTTTCAATAAGGGGATGAGCCAACCCAGGACCAGAATAAATGAGCTGTATCACAATGAGCATTGTTAACATTTATTATACTGATGTCTTAATGACACACTAACATTAGGGATTTGTGCCTGAAGGTGTCTTCAGGTTCTCTTCAAGACATGAACGTCCTGAGAAACAGCAAATGATTTAAAGTCTTCAAATGTCAAAGGTCAAGACCTTGGTGAGTGCCATTTACAAACCAGTTAACCAGAAGACAAGAGTGCAGAGATGAACTTAACCACTTAAAGTCTTGTGTTGTTCACAAACCAAAAATTCTTTGTGTGCGTTAGTCGTTCTCTGGTCAAGTCGCTGATTCTGCATTGTAAAACCCTATCCCGGACTAATATCCAAGGTTCTGGATATCTGCCGCTCTACAGTATGGCTTTTATATAGTCAGAAACAACACAAAACATACACAGTCAGGCTCAACAGCAGATGGCACATGAATAACGAAGCTTAATATCTTTTATGCAAATTGCAGTTTGAGGGAAAAAGTGTCCTATAAACACATTTCCCGTTAAACCCACCGCATATGGAAATAACTCAATACTGCCATGAAAATGTCAGCGAGAAATGATCAGAGACTGAGATCTGCTCTCCCGCTCTGAGCCTTCAGATAACACAAACCGGCCCAGTCCACGGTACTTTGCAGATACCCATTTCTTCATGTTTAAAAAAAAAAAAAAAAAAAATCTAAACCATGGAGCTTAGCTGAGATGACTCGCAGCACATGCATTGCCAACACCCTCACACAAGATTAACCATTCAGACACACACTCACATGCATAATTTCAACTGGATTCTTGGGAGTCTGTCTAACACTATTCCAGTTAAGATAGCATTTTTTGCATGATACTTAAACACAATGGCCATAGGAGTTCCTGTCTATAAATATGTCTCTGAAAATTTTTCCTAAGCAGTTGAAAATTAGGAAAAACTTCTATAACTGCTAAAATACAACAGTTCAACCCTGTCACAAAATGCAGTAAAATCATGCCGACCAGAGGAAACAGAAAATGCCTTTACCAAAAACCTGTGTTATCTGAATCTTGTCAAATATCTGGCTTTTTTTTTTTTTTTACTATTAAAAAATTCTTTATTATTCTTTATGAGAAATGTTCTGATGAAATAAGAACACAGTTTAAACATTTCTGAAGAAAACAGTGTGTGTGAAAGCTCCACGTGTGGCCAAGTAACAGTTCAGGGGAGTAGCCGAGGCTGGAAGACAGTTTGCGGAGAAGGGAGAGGAACAAGCACTTGGTTCAGTGGTACAGGCTTAAAGCCTCAATGATAATCTTTCACACAGTCTTAAATAACAAAACAAAACAACAATCAGATGACATAGATGCAGACTCTAGTATCTTATCCTACATCTTTGTTCTACTGGATTATACCTCAGCTTAATACTATAGCACCATCTGAAGCAATTAACACAAGGCTTAACTTGTTTTCTCTTTTTTACACTATTATGTAATCTTAAGAGGCCTCTCAGAAAAATCAAATCCAGTTTCATCAGAAAGACATAGCTGTTCCTATGAATGAATGCTTCGATGGATTTAAAAACAAATAAAGTGAGAAAAAGTGCAAACCGTCTCTCCCATAAATCCCAGCATGCACCACAGAAGGTGGCAGTTTCTCTCTATCTGGCAGTTCAAATGTTTCCAGTGTTCACAAGACACCAAGTCCCAACAGTAGCGGTTTGCTGCTATGCTGTTGTTATCTACAGACAGACATCCATTCAGTGATTGCCTTACGCACAGAGTCTGTAGGGAAGCAGAAACAAACCTTAGTAAATCTAAAATAGGTCTCAAACCATTTTCATATGGGATAAGGGATTTGGATAGGTCCACCAAAGTGTTCAAAGAAATGTGGGTTTATGGCCGACCATCGAGGAAAGAGACTGAAGGGTGTAAGACCTGAATCTGAGGAAGGATCAGTCCAGCAGGTGGAGGGGAAGCAGAAGAGGAAAGGGTCAGAGTTCAGGGGTCAGTCTAGCAGATGTTTGCGCGGGCCTATGCGGGAACGGTGTGAACGGCGGGTATCTGGGGGTTCGTGTGTCTCTCGGCAGCTCTGGCACACATATGTCTCTGGAACGTGACTCTTGCGGATCTTGGCGCATGACAGGTGGATCCAGGTGTGGCACTTGTCACACTCAATCATGGCCCGACCTGCAAAAGGCTTCATACAGAAACATGTCACCAGGTCCCATGAGTCGTCATCTGGGAAGACAAGAGAGAAAACACACTGAGTTATGTCTACTCTGTCAAATTTGTACCGCTGCAATGCATGTGCCAATATAAGACCTCACCCGAGTCCACCATAATGTCCTCATCCTCTCCTGAGCCATCTTCGTCTCTGAACACCACCTGTTTCCCCTGGCGGAACACCGTTCTGTTTCCTGAAAAGCCCTCAACCTTCTGTACCTTGACTACCCCCTCTTCTAGATCTCGTCCATCCCAATATCGACGCTCCTCCTTGGGCTCCTTCTTGCAAGGAGGTGGGCTAGGCAGACGCTGGGGGTGGAGGGGAATGCTGATATCATCTTCAGGCTCTTCTTTGATCATTCGGCCACCAAAAGAGATGGGGTACTTCAGCTCTGCAACTGCTGAGTGGCTCTGCTGACCCTCACTATCCTCACCAGCCTGATGCTCCCTCTCCTTTCTCCTCCTTTTCTTCTTTAGCTTGTCGGCTTTCCTGCGGTCATCTGGGTGAAGAGTGGTGATTGTGTGCTGCAGAAAAAGAAAAAAAAAACCCTGAATGCCAAACTAGCTGAAGGTGAACATATTGTATAAGGTAATAATGTAACATCAGTTCTACTCACATCTTTCTTAGTGTGACTGGACAGTGTGGCTCCTGGCTGTGGATGTTTCCTGCTCCTGTCCTGGGGGATCTTAGGAGGGCGCTGGGGGTAGGAGGTTGGAGGTCCTGGGGTCCAGGCATCACTGTCAGCTGTACTGCCAGTGCTGTTGGGGGGGCTGGAACTACTGCGCAGTGGAGAGTCCTGTGACAATAAACAAGAAAAAAAAAAAAGACATTAACAGATTCAAATAAGTCTGACAATTCTTTTCATACATTCATCCACTCAACTATAAATAATATCCTATAATAATGATTATCAATCAAGACATTTCCACTGTACCAAATAGTAAAACCTTGGATTGCGAGTAACCTGGTCTGCGAGTGTTTTGCAAGATGAGCAAAAAATTTTTTTGTAAATTTTAACTTGATAAACGATCGAGTTCTTGCAATACGAGTAGTGCATACGCGTAGTCTGCCAAGCATCACGTCACAACTGAGCCGATGGTTCTCACACCTCACTCATATAGTTAACATCTGTACTGCAACAATGGCCCCGATGAAGAAAAAATAAAGGTTGAAAAGAAAGGCGGTAAGGAAAAAGAGGTGATTACACTGGAAATTAAAAAGGAAATCATTGAAAAGCATGAACGAGGTATGCGAGTGGCCGCAGGATTTTATAAGGGAGATGTATAAAATGAGGAAAATGGTGCAAAATTTTGTAGAAAAGCACCACCCGAATAAGGCTGTAGCAGTGCAAACAATAACTCTGTTTAACGACAATGCAATGCCACATTTCCACCAAATCCTTAAAAGGAGGCAAAAGCAAGTGTCATGGGACAGGGTCCTTGTTAAAGTAGCACAAAAAGAAAAAGACTTCAGCGAGCCAACAGATAGTAGATAGCTCTTCTCTTTGTCTCCCTCACGCCAGCCACGATTCTTTTCAAAGGTAAAGTGCAGGTTAATTTATTTTATTTTTACTTTATACTGTATTTTGTATTACTACAATCATTTTATATGAATAAGTGGTTGTGGAACGAATAATCTGTGTTTCCAGTGTTTCTTATGGGGAAATTCACTTTGATATACGAGTACTTCGGATTACGAGCACGTTGCCAGAACGAATTATACTCGCAATCCAAGGTTATACTGTACTAGTTTAGAGGTCTATGTGCAGTTTCAGACTTAATTCTAATTAATACATGTTTTACCTGAATGAGGGTCAATGCATCCTCACAACGCTTTAGAAGGTGTCAAAAATTCCCTTGTATAATAATGCAAAGCGCAGCAGTGATGAGACTGCAAGCAATGCTAAAAAGCTGTCAAAACACATTGAATGTAAGGACCCACTATTTAGCATAAAACATTTTTCAATTTTAATTTAGATCTCGGTGAGCTCTCTCTTACATAATTATTAGCAGGAATATCTGAAGTGCAAAATCATCACTTAGTGTCAACAAATGACAAGACAGCCTTACAACAGGTGACAAAATGTGCACAGAAAGAGGGGGTGGATATGAAAACAAATCTAGTATGTGTTAGAGAAAAAGAAAAGCAGCGCGGTGAAAACACCACCTTCAAAGGAAAAACCACAAAAAAAAAAAAAAAGTGTCATAGTCTAGAAACCCCTGACAATGATGGTCAGGAAAAGGAAATAAATTTGTTCTGGCAAATAAATAAATAAATAGATACAATCATACTGAAAAAAAGTGTTCAAGTTATATCACACTTTGATGGTTGTTTTTGGCTTGAAATGATTCTGAAATTGCATGTAATTTTTAGTTATAGAAGTAGAACCTAGGAGTAGCAACAAGTTTTGATGAAGCTACTTTACTAGAACATCCCTCCCACCTCAAGGGTTTTATCTGCTGGTATTTTGAAGAGAGGAAGAAAAAAAAATAAGGTTTGTGTAATGACAGACTGTAGAACTAGCACTGTAAAAGCAGCCTCCCTTGATAACAGGATGGGGCTACAGTGTTTTCAGCACTAGAGGAGCATGTTTTTAATCAGTATGATTTTACAATAACATTTTTTTTCCAACAATAATAAATATGTACACATTCTCTTATAGTCAGCAATGTGGGCATGAATGGTTGACCAAGACTACTTGCCATAGGACAGAGGGCTGAGCTAAGGAGGTGACGAACTGCGGTGTAGACAGAGGTGGCTCTAAATGCAACAGTCAGAGCACACCAGCAGACTAGACAGTCACAGCTGAAATCCTGCATACACAAAGTATTCTTGCCATTGAATTAACTTCTGTGGTCTGTCATGTGAAAGAACTGCGGTTAGTTCTGAACAGAGGGCATCCTAAAACTACAACAAACACTTCAAGCTAGAAAAACAACTGAGACAAAAAGAACCTGTTTAAGTTCTCCCTCCCTGTCCCCAAACAGAAGACGTGTGCAAAAAACAGCACTGTCTCATATCCAGTTTCACAAGTTGACACATTTTGATCTTTAAAAAAAACAAAAACCACCCATACTTGACTTGCAGTTTCACTACATCTTTCCAAACAATAACTTCCACCTACATTAAAGTCTAGATCACTCAATGTCAATCACAGCACCTTGATAAATTTTACACTTCGTTTATGTACTATATTACTACTGTGTATGCATTTTCTCTTCACTTCGTTTTTAGATTAAAACAAGCCATAAAACTAACAATAGCATTAACAGTGATTAAAGCAATAAGATTAAACTATTAAATAAGGTGCAATAACATTACAAAATAAGTAAATTTAACCCAGCAATACAGGTGCTTACGTACAGATGTGTACCGGCACTGATCGACTCGTTTACTCACCTCTTGGGGGTATGGTATGTAACCGGCATAGGCCAACACAAAAGTGCAAAACTTGTTAAAGTCCTCTACCGTCCTCCTCCTCTTGTACGGCGGACTGAACCCCTGAAACACAGTCATGTCATTGAAACATCAGCTCCATGAAATCTACACATCCCGACATGGCGTTGACATGAACAAGCGCTGACCGCTACACAGGCTGCAAACTGCCACTCGATACTGGTTCGATGCGACGTAACAAAACTGAACGAAACTATAAAATAACATGTTGACAAGTATATGCTAAAGTTTTAATTGTTGCATGAAGACACTGCTTTGTAGACTCGCCCGTGAACCTTCCTACCAACCCCCCACTGATTAACTCAAATAACAACGGCAGCTAATGTTAGCTAGGTTGAATAGCAGTAGCTAAACAGCAAATAAGTAACTAAAGCTAATGCTAGCTGCTGGTTAGTGTCAATGGACTTTAACTGGCGAACAAAACTATGAAGTCATAAGCGACTTCGTATTAACGTATGTCGAATAGTTACAATAAGTCATAAAAGCATCAGTCTTAGCCAACTGTAAGCTGGTAACAAACGCAGATGGCATGAATATGATGCTTAGTTAGCCACTGTTAATGTTAGCATGCTCCGCAATAATGATGGAATGTTTTCTTTTCGATGAAACGTTAAGCTAAAACTAGCTTTACCGACACCGATTTTACAAGTCCTGTTTAAAGTGACGCCAGTTACTCATTCTCACATGCAGTGTCGAATTTTAGCTGTAAAAGTTGACAGCTGGTCCTAAGTTTGTCTGTACGCTTATCATGTGTAACCTATCAAATCTCTGCACCAGTAGCTAATATGTCAACATTAGCACAGTGAGCTAACGTAATCAGCAGCTGCTAACTGTTAACAACCTCAGACAAGTTGACGTTTGCTAACGTCGTTAGCCATGACTGCAAACTACTCACAGTAAAAGAGTTATATAAAACATTTACCTCCGATTGAAATGCATGGGATGTCGATGGGTTTATGTCACCCATCTTTGCCAAGTACCTGACCACCTGGCGTTTTGTCGATAACGTGACAGGCTAAAGCAACTGGCTGCTCAACGCGACCGTAAACACTGAGGATACCTAGCTTTTACTTGCTAAACACTTAACGTTGTAGCCAACGTCAAACGTGCCTATGCTAAAACTCGAATCAACAGTGTTCACTCAATTTGCCATCAGCAACAACAATCCCATTACTTGGACTCGCACCGAGAACCAGCTAGACAATTGGTACAAAGTTGTAAAACGCGCCTCCAGTGAACCGCGAACGTTAACCAACGCTCCTACTGTATTTCCATCAAACTGTCCGGTAACGTCTCCGTATGATCCAGTTTACTGACTTCTTCTTCTTCTTCTTCATTATTCGTGTCTGTAGCAGTGAAGACACGAAATAACGCATTAATGCCCTCTTCTGGTGTATAGCGTGTGTCGGGATTAAGCCTAAATATTTAAACATGATCTCTAGAGATGGTAGAAGACCGTAGACTGTATATTGAGGACATAAAAATACGACTTCTTTGAAAATAATTTGTAACAACAACAATAAAAATAACAATAGCTAGCCTACATTTTATTTATACAACCTATAAACCTAGCCCAATAAATTTGCTATCACTAGCAAGACTATTGTAAATTCACTATTGTTTGATTTTTCTTGTGTTTGGTTTGAGCTTTAAGTTTATATATTGTATAGTTTTAGCATTATATGCTTATTTTATTGTATGTAACTTTTAATATTGCCATCTTGCAGCACAAAAGCAAATAAAAGTTAGCTCTCAGTCTCTTGGCAAAATATCTCATAAATCATAAATGCATTTATTTAGCGGTATTACAGGCATTCTCTTATCTTTTCGTATTTTAGACAAAACAGTTGAATCCTTTTGATGACCATATGTCAGCTTCTGTATTATTCCCATGCTTACTTTTGTATAAATCTCATCACACTTGAAACATAATTTTAGAACCCTATTGACCATGGCTGGATTTGGCAGCTGCCCTAAGGCCCCTGCTACTCAGTGGCCCTGAACACCTCAAGTTCACTCTCAGCTCATTTGCTGAAGATATAGCCTACTAACATTTGAAATCCTATATAAAGTGCTAAATATTAAAACATGTACCAATACATCCATGGATACTTTTAGATGGTTCAGTAGACTTAACATTATTGGAACAAGGAACAAAGAAATTCACAAAGTTAAGACCTATATAGAATGTCATTACTAGAGCTATGTTCAGATTTATACATATGGATCAAAGAATTCGAACAATAAAATCAGAATTCCATTAGTGTAGACTACCAGGGCTCAAAGTTTTAATTAGGGCAAAACCTGGTGATGATTTATTGAAAGGCTTGCACTTGTTTTGTCCTTAACACCTTTCAGAGCTGCTGTTTGTTCAGCCTTAATTTCTTCACATAAAATAAAGTAATTAGGACAGCAGTAAACATATAACTGCTGGGAATAAAAAACATTGTCCACGATTCAAATTATGACACTCAAGTTTGGAAAATTATGATGGACAGTCATTTTTTTTTAGGAAGCAACATTAGAACATGATTCACTGTAAAAGACATTCTGCAAATAATTTCAGGTAAATACTGTGTTCTGTTTTTGTTTTATGATCTTAGAAGAACAAATTGTTCAATATTATTGGCTTAGAAGTAGGGAACCCGATCCGCACTCCAGTCCAGTTGGTGACAGTAATGCGCCGTAAAATATCAGGAAGAAGAAGAAGAAGAAGAAGGGAAGCGCTTTTCACGTTGTGCTTGTTTTCTCTTCCCAGGTTCCGCGAGGGTCGTTCGTAGCAATTAGAGAAGTGAAGTCTTTTGATACATCTTTGGTATTAAAAATGTCGAACACTAGGTTCCAGACTTTTCGTAATTTTTTAACAGAGCGATTTACTACCGTAGCTGTGGAGATATTTGAAGAAGTCGAAGCAATTGTAGAGGCGTGCTACGAGGAAAACAAACGACTGCGGAACATTTTGCACATGGTCGTCAACCCTGAGTTAAAGTTACATAAGATAGGTTTGTCACTTTTGGTTAACTTACAGATATCGACTAACTAAACGTTAGTCACTACAGCTTAAATTGAATAGTTATATTGCAGCAGTGTAAAAATGAAAGTGTCTCCACGTCTACTTCTGGCTAAACTATCTACATAATGAAATGTAAATAATGTAACGCTAATGCTAACGTTAGAAGTCTAAATTAGCCTATGTTGTAATGTTCCTGTGTTTACACAATTGTAATGTTTTCACTACGTACTTTATCTTATCTTTGAGGAATATTTGTTATTGTTTTTTTCTTGATACAGTTTGATGCAGGGTATGGTGTGATATGGTATACGATTCGATTCAGTTTAAATGCAATATTTCAATGACAACAATGTATGACTAGCTGCTGGATACTTGTACTTTACTCGCCTTTCCCCCCCCTTTTCTGACACTGGTTTGATCATGTAAAGAACAACCAGATATGTGATGTTTTTTATTGTGATATATTGACTTTTGATATATTGTCCCATCCCTATAAATTGCTGATTTAAGTATCTGAATACTTTTGTAAATGAGAGTTTTCTTTGTCATTTTAGGTTGATGAGTATAGACTGAGGACCTAAGAGGATTTTTACACATTTCAAATGAAATCTAGAGCAGAATAAAACGTGCAAAAAGAAGTTTTCTTAATATTTCTTAAAGCAACTATGTATAAAACCCTGTAGTGGTTGTCCAAGCTGAGTTGTTTTATCTTACACTTTGTCCTACTAGGGGAAAGGGTTCAAGATTAGCAAAGCTTTCTCCATCTGCCAAGCAGCTTTGTTTGGGGGGAGACAGCTGTAGATGCATATAATAATAATAATAATAATAATAATAATGTTGTTTTTCTTTTTCCCTGTAATAGATGACGGTCAATACATGGGCACAAACACTAATGTCAGAATTCAGCCCCTTGATCTGAACACTGGGGTGAAGTGGGAAATATCAGAGCCCTGTTCAAAAAAACCTAAACAGGAGCCAGCTGAATTTGACATAGGTTGTGGATCAGAACAACAACAAGTACCGGAGGGAACTGTGAAAGATGACCCAGAAGAAGGCACAAATACGTCCTGCATCACTAACTCCTTCCCCCTTCAAGTGGTGGAGTACGACCCTGACTCTTCAGACACTGTTCAGGAAGAAAATGATGAGCATGAGGAAAGTTCTTCAGTGGCCTCAGATGCAGTCACAGAGAGTGAGAGGTTCTCCAGCAGTGAAGAAAGCACAGATGAAAATCAGGAACCTCATACACACAGTAATACATCATTGACAAAGCTGGTAAGTTTAAAAGAATCCATTAGAACTTCATAGATTTAAAGCATCTGCTGACTGTGACATTCCTGAGAAACCTTGTAATCTAGAAAGCACAGCACAATACTGTCAGTTAACTTCTGTTTAGCAAAACTGAACATTTTACACCACAGGGGATGTTTAGGAAATCTTTGGACTCTGTGCACTTGTGATAATTACTTATTAAACTGTGAATTTCAGTGACTAATATAAAAACACTGGGAAACCCTTGAGAACTGGACTGGATTGTTTTGTTCACATCGAAGCCTGAGTTGTTTTAAACAGTTGACACATGAACTAATGAGTCTTTTCTTTTCTTGGTTGGAAATCGTCCTACAACATGGAAGATAATGAAGCACCCTCTGCAGAGACCCATGCTACAATTACCACGGTAAGAAGAGTGAGATTCTGCTGTAGGGCCGAACGGTTAATCAGTTTCGAATTGAAATCACGGAATGAAGCCAGTCTTGAGTTTATTTAGCAGTGATGTTGTATAGTTTTCAAGTCTGGTTTCATCAGAAATTCTGATACACTGATTAAAGTGCTCAAAGTTTGTGAATAAAAGAAGAAAATAAGCTTTGTTCTGTATTTACTGTCACTCTGTCTAATTTGAATTCTAAATCTCACACTCTCTAGCCTATAGTCAAATAAGTAGCTAAAGAGGAAAGTAAAAAAAAAAATAGAAATACAGTTTAATACAAAGCAAACTGAACAGCAGTAAGCCCCAACCCTCAGCACCGCTGGTGTATGTATGAGGGTGTTGTGTTTGTCTTCTTACTGTCATTTGCAATTGGTGTTACAGCGAATAATGTAGAAAAAAGAGAAACATAGTCACAAATCATTCAGCCCTAGTCTGCAGTAACTGATGTATTTTTGATGCAGTGCAACCCATTTGCTGAAATAGCAACTAATATATTTATTTGTTTTATACAGTATGAAAAAATCTTTCAATGCTACACCACCAGACTACCGGTCCTTTTTGGCAAGACTCACCGAAGCCTTTAAGAATTTTCCTGATGACAAGAAGCCTCTGATAACCAAAATGGGCCTCACAGCGGATGTGGAATTGGTGGACTGTGCTTTTGGTAAAGTTCCTAAAGGCTGCCCCCTGTCCTACCAGTGCCCTGTGCCATCAAGTAAGGATTACATGACTTCTGACGATGCTCCCACTCGACCACTGCTTCCACTGTCTTTCCACAGGCTTGAACCAATGCCCCCACTTTTTACCCTCAGTCCCAAGGAGCAGGAACATGTGAATGTTATGCAGATCACTTGGGAGGCAGCAAGCAACTTGGAGCACTCCACACGTGGAAACAAGACCGCCATAGAGGAGCTGCAGAAACTGCGCTTGACCAACCGTTTCAAGGAGATCTGCAAACTTAAACCAGGACAGAGCCATGCACAGCAGCTTGTATTGAAGATACAGAAAGGGACTCAAAGGAACAAGACGGCTCAGATAGAGGAGGAGATGAAAACTGAGGCACTCTGGGAGTACTGTCAGCATTTATGTGTCAACTGGTACCCCTGTGGTTTGGTTGTGCACCCGAATGCTCCGTGGCTGGGGGCGCTGCCTAACGGGCTCGTGTACGACCCTAAGGAGGAACCCAATTTCGGGCTGGTGCATGTCAAATGCATCGGGTTCTCAAGCTTCAAGGAGTGCCCGTTTCTTGCCTGCCGGGAGGGAGTTTTGCAAATGAAAATGAGCCACTCATCCTATTGGCACATCCAGGGAGAGATGTTGGTGACAGGCACATCTTGGTGTGATCTGGTTGTGGTCTCCAGAGAAGAACTGCTGGTTCAACGCATCTACAGAAACCTGCCCTTAATTAATGTAATGAAAAAGAACTTGCATGCTTTCTTTCACTGTTACTACCTGCCAAGTCTTTTAAATTGATGTCATAGCTTGAGTGATTGTGGCATCACCATGTTGCTGTCATACACTACATGTTGTTTTGCTCAGGTGGGTGGTTGGTTGTGAGTTTTAAAACACTATCTCACTTGAATGTATTATGTTTCTTGACCTCAAATGTTCTGTTGCCATTATTAGCATGTAACCTTTATTATTAGTTTCACCGAGTGTAGTTTTGGTTCATGTGCTCTCTCGTTCTATTACGTTTGTATTAGCTTTAGATCTACTTAGATATTTTCTTTTACTTTAAGGTGATTTGTGACATAGCCAGATCCTTGATGTAATTAGAAATTGAATTTGACTTTTTATTTGCTATGTTTACTTTTGTTCTTATGACTCTACAAAGGTGCTCTGTGGGTGGGTGTGTGGGTGTGTTGGGGGGCATCTACTGTGAAGATTAGCTTCATTACTGAACAATCTGCCCATCACTCTTTATTAGATTAATAATTAGTGTATGAAATGTCAAAAAACTGTTTATGAAGACTGCACAGTCTCACAAGCTCAGTTTGATTATGTATTCAGTTTACCATACAAGACACAATACAGCATTATTCACAACAAGAGAATATTTGTCTTTAATGACTTAGATAATTGATTACTAAAATGGTTGCTAATCTTCTGTAAGTTGCTTCAGTGGGAGCACCTCTGTCGTGTTTGTTGAGTAATGATCAGTCAAGTTTTAAGTCGCCGTAAGAAGTACAGTAGTTTCAAAGGTTGGCACGAATGTGAAACTTCAAGTGCTGAGTCCAGTGAGAATGTTACTGTAGCTCTGGAACAGAGCAGGACTTGGAGCAGAAAGTGTGAATGTTCATCAATTACGTTTTTGTCCATAGTTTTGTAAGCACGTTGCTGAACCCCAGTGTTCAGTTTGGGATTCTGGACACCCCAGTCCCTCTGGAAAGTACATGGTTTAATCAGCATGATTTTGTTTCAGAAATGTCTGATGGGGAATGAAGCATTACTCCTGTTGGGAGTCTCAGGGACCCCAGCCATAAAACACGGTAAAATACAATATACAACCATTTTAAAAAAGCTATACAGCACCAGTCAGAAGCTATGGCACCCTTTGCCTTTATGTTGATCGGGAAGGTGAGTTCATCCTTTGACTGCTACTGAATATTTTTACAGTGATTTCCTTCCACGTCTTGTGATTATGTAGAGTAGCATTTCTCTGTCTCAATGAAAAACGGAATACGACTACAAATATAGAAATATACAAAGTATAAAAATAAACTAAGGAAAAACATGAAATGTTTCCATATTTGGTGTAATAACTATTTAGGATTGTTTGCTTTTATTTGTCACCAGATATGTAAGCGCAGGTGGTGGCAAAGGGAAGAGGTACCACTTTAGTACTTTTATTCTTTTAACGAAGTGAAGAAGGAAAACACGTGTTTGATTTGGTAGTTGTCATTTATACATACACACATCATTGAGTTGTGTGGGGCCCGAAACAGTGAGGAGGCTTTGATCAGTGAAAAATCAAAGGAAAAGCAACAAAAGGGTCCTAGTAAGGGCCACCATGTGCCATCAGAACAGCTTCAGTGTACCTTGGCATTGACTAAAGATGTTATTTCATTTGGTGTTTTGATGATGTTGGTGGAGACGTTGTCCAGCGCAAAGCTCCAAAATCTCCCAGGGGTGTTCAACTTGTGTTGAGATCTGGTGACTGTGAAGGTCATAGCATCCGATTCACATCATTTTCATACTCATCAAACCATTTAGTGACCCCTGCTTTGTGGATGGGGGCACTGGCATCCTGGAAGAGACGTGATCTGTTTTTCCCCGCATCCTGCAGAGGGCGCTGTGGTCCTGTCAAGATCAATCGACGTTGAGAAAAAGTGTGTTTTTTGCAGCTGGACATAAAAATATGTTTCACGCTCTAGTGTATGTGTGTGTGTGTGTGTGTGCCAACAGTCATTAGTCAGCAGGACACACACAGTTAGTCACACGTTGTCCACCTGTCTACACAGTGACCGGATGCAGTTTTGAAATGATCATCTCGCTCCTCTCTCTCACTCTCTCACACACACACACAGACGCGACCTCGGCAGTCGAGTCCGAGCCTCTGCTTTCCCCCACACCGGCTTTGTTTTAATGACAATGGCTCTAAATAAGACGTACATCAGTATCGGCTATGCCTCGTTTGGTGCGCTCGTAGGCTTTTCTGCGTTCCTGACGTGGAACATCGTGTTCGCACAGCCGTGGACTGCAGCCATGGGAGGACTGTCAGGTAAACTCAGTCTCCAGTTAATGTACTGTTCATGTGTGGTGCCTGTTCAGCTGGACATGTGTCCAAGGTTGCTTTTGGTTAATGGAATCAATATCTTAATAGGAATGTTCAAAACCACTATTGTAAAAACATACATATCAAATAAGATAAATAATCTGATAATTACAAGTTATGGCAGCTGTGCTTTGCAATAAATGTTAGAGTAAAATTAGAAAAACGACCGTCTGAGCCTGTTTTATCCCACATATACTTGACACCGTTTTTAGAACATGTTACATATTGAATTGGGTTCCTGCCACATTTTCAAGCAGCCATTGGTTGCTTTAAGTTTAAAGCCAGTGCAAGTTGATTTTTGTGTTGTACTTAAATGAAAAGAAACAACTTTTTGCTTGGAAAGCATGAAAACAAAAAACTGAAGGCAGATGCAGAGTAAATGGCATTGCACTGGTGGAGTTGGTTCACTTCTGATCTTACACTGAGTTTTATGACAGATGGCACAGGTAGACCAAACACTTGGCTTCATGCACTGTTGTGCAATGGGCTCTATTCAGTGTTGTATTAATGGATCTGACCCTTGATCCACTGCTGAGGTTTGCTAGCCCATATCTCTACCATCTACACTCATCTGTTCACAGGATGTACTGTTCAGTGGTGGTTAAACATAGTTTATCAAAGGTCAAACTCACCCGTCTGGGCTTTTTAAATCAAAAATTAGACATTTTCATTAAATGAGAAGGATTACACAGCTAAGGTCAGTGACCTACATACTGTATATGGCCTTCCCCCTGGTCCTTTACTAAACTGGCACAAAACTCTGTGTCTGTTTTGGTGATACACTGACATAACATAATAATAATAGTAATATATTTTTACCTCAGCAAAATGACATATAACTGTATGATGCTGAATGAAGGTTTAAAATAATCACGTTCCTCATCCCAATATGCAGCCAGCCTTCACTGAAACAGGCTGAAGTAGAAGCTGACGTCAGAACACACAGGTCAGGTCCTTAGGTCACAATTGCAAAAAACTGGAGGCGGTCAGTGGTTAGGTGAAAAGCCAAGTCAACCATTAAACGTGCCTCGGCTTCATAACACTGTGGCTTTGGAAAAAGAGGAACATGGGGAAAGGAAGTCCACTGAGTCAGCGGCATGCTGTGTCATGTCAGTGAAAATGCACAGTCACAAGTTGATGACCATGCAAACTCAGGTCAACAGGTGGATCCGTTAATATCAGCTGTGAGTGCTGTCTTTAAAGGTGCCTTGGCATGTTGTAACCCATTATATATTACACACGGTTGTCACTATCTTCCAAGTATATGGCCAGTTTTTCATTGATTTCCAAACTTCAAGGCTGCCAGTGGTTTCCATTGATTTACAGTAAGTAATGTATCAGTGACCATACAGCCTACTGTCGCTGGGCCAGACAGCTGTGAGCACAAAGTGTTTTTCAGCATTTTTTATTATTTATTAGTGGACTCCAGGGAAATCCTGCTTTCTAATGCAGGAAACTGCCCAGGGATGGACCAATCCTATACAATGGATTTTTGTCAGGGTCATACTGATCGTACTAAGTGGCGTATCGGCCAGACGCAACCAGTCTGCACTTGCACAGATTCTGTCACAGCGATCACCATCACAGTTTTTAGTGTTGGGAATCACCAGATTTGCTGAGTGACGGTATCTGAATCTGTGCCGGGAGAGAAAAAATAGGCTGCGTTGTTGTTTTCATGTCATCTGTGTCTACTCATTGTTTGACTTCAGGGTTTGTTTTTGGAAAAGCAGGCAGTAACTTTTGAATACAATGCTTTGAGTGTTCACACGTTTAACTCCCTTCGTGCGACAATAACAAAATGTTCAAGTTTCTGACGGGGATTTTCACTGCATGTTGAAACAGCATGGAAATAATGTCTGTGTGTTGTGTTAAAGATTAACAGATGTCAAATCATCAGCAGTGTCCTTTTAAACTGTCTTCTGAAAGCAAAAATGTGCACCGAGATCTCCCTGTCTGTGTGGTTGTCCTTCAGGTGTGCTGGCGCTCTGGACCCTGATCACGCACATCATGTACCTGCAGGACTTTTGGCGGACCTGGCTGAAAGGCCTCAAGTTCTTTTTCATCATGGCTGTTTTCTTCTCTCTGCTCGCCGTCATAGCCTTCACTAGCTTTCTGTCTGTTGCCATCAGCAACAAAGAGTGTAAGTTATTCGACAGTGCTTTCCTGTCTCAGTGTGCACACCATTTTTACCAGGCATATTTATGTACTGTGGTTTGGTTTAATGAGGCCAGTTGCTGTTTGTCACCAAACAGAACTATAATAGCTGCAAGTCAAGTGGGTGGCCTCAAAAATCAGGTGAGTGAGTAGGGTGGTCAGTAGAGTTTCTGTTGACCCCATTTCAAATTAACCAGCATATTTCCTATAATTAATCTCTGTCCACCACAGGGACAGTTAACAGAGCGAGTCTAACTGAGAAAATGTGTCATGTCTTACACAAAGCCAAGTGTTCAGTGTATTGTCATGTTATTAATGGAGAAACTTTTGTATCTGTGTCAGCTGTAAAGGACTGGTCCATTTTTAAATAGCCACATACATTTTTAAGGTTTGGGCTGGGCCACCTCATTTCAGTGAAGCATACAACACACAGCTCCAGCCATACTGTGACTACAGACAAATGTGCACTTCAGACAGTTTGTGGAAGGCTTGTTCTAATGTGACAACACCCTCCTAAACGAAGCAACACTGATAAAGAAACGGCTGGAATGACCTGATAGGCCTGCACTGATCCCTGACCTCAAACCCATTCAGTAACTTGAGGGATGAGCTGGAAGAGCATCTGCGAGGCGTGCAGTGTGCAGACATGTGACAACTGCACCATTCCGGCCTGCAGGGTGCTGAATGCTAATCTGTGAGTCTCTCTCTCTCCCTCAGCCTTTAGTGACCCTCAGAGTCTCTACCTATCCTGTGTGTGGAGCGTCATGAGCCTGAAGTGGTCCTTCCTGCTCGCTTTGTGCACTAACCGCTACCGCAAGGAGTTCACCGACGTCAGTATTGTCAATGACTTCTGAAGGCACTTACCAGAGTAGCTACATGGACTCTGCAGGACACTCACTGTGCTGGCCTCCAAACCAGAGAATGTCACAGTGTGAAATTGACAGAGGACACTTCAAGAGGAATAGGAAGAAAGAGTAGATGAGCACCAGTGTTTCCCCAAAAGCTGCTGGTGTTGTTTTTAATATGTGCAGGATTTGTTGCTGACTTGTCGGGTTTATGGAGAAATCCAGTCTTGCTTTATATGATCCTTGGTAGATTTTACTGTTACATTTTCACTTCCTCAGCATCATGCTTAGTCATGCATCTGCACAATTTTCTCATGACCAAATAAATACAAAATACAGTCTTTTGTAACCATGACTCAGGCTCAGCGAAGGGGATTTCAGCTCACCTCAGTGGTTAAGTATCATGTGCAGTTTCAGGCTGCAGCCACTAGAGGGGGACACTCTTCCAACAATTAAACATCATGTCCCATACTGTACATGTGGACATTGTCCTTATCATATTACAACTGTGTTTTATTTTCTATATCAATCAAAGCAGACCTGTTTCCATCACAAGCTGCGCTTACTAATCATGAAGTGTGTATATGATAACAGTGAATCCAGTGCTTTAAAGTCGATGTACATTCAACCGCTGCCTTAACAGTGTGTGTGTCAGGGTCTCGCACAGGGCAGGTCACCCGTGTTTCCTACATCACTATGAATGCTTTTATGTAGAATTTCAAATAAGCACTACATGTCCTGGTTCAGTATGTTTCTGAACTATGAAGGGGCTTTTTAATTGTAAAGATTTTGTAATATTTTTATCAGTGTGACTAAAAACGCTCAAAAAGGTGACAACATTAGATATATAATAATTGTGAAGATGACAGATTTGGTGGCAGCACAAAGGTTTGCACCAGCAGTAATGCCACTAATGTGCATGCTTACATGTTCATGTGGTTTTTTGTTATAACATCCTCATCGACATCGATAATGTTGTTGCTTAGGAGATTACTTTGAGGTATTTCACTGCCATGTCCCAAATGAAATATAACATTGTGTATCCACATGAATCACTTGACTGAATGTAGGAGTGTGTTTTTGAGAGCTATGTTAATAAGGTATGTTTTTTGACATCCAGTGTGCACTGCTGTGTTTTTGCAGTGAAGTCCTAAAATAGTGGCCAATAACTGTTCCTCTTTTGTATGAAGAAATGTGTCTGCGTCTTTTACAGTTTCTGTTCCCCTGAAACATTTAATTCCTTTTTACGTTTCAGTGGAAATGGAACAGCAATAAACATTTTGTTGTTGTTGTTTTTAAGGATTATGACTTTAATGCAACATGTGAAAGAGTCATGGAAGTAGCCTGAGAATGCTACACACTGTTCTTCCTACTAAGCTTGGATCAAGAGGGAAAGTGTTGGGCATTAGTGTAGGATTTGTGCCATGAGAGGAATGGGCCACTTCTCCCACCCACTCAAGCCACATTTATGAAGAATAAGGAGAAAAAAACATGCGACAGCTCTGCAATCACACCAGTAAATGCAGACCAATAACCTGCTCTTTGAAGTCAGGCAATTATTCTAACCATGCACAATTTTATTTTTCCATGAAAGGAAAGGGGTGGGTGCAGACAGCTTGTGGTGAATGATTTTGTTAAGGTAGATTCCTAACAGAAGGATTTTGAAGTGAAAAATATGTGACTGAAATATTATGGTGCATTATAAGTCATTAATTTGTTTATAGATCAATACCTGGTGGGAAAATGTGTCTCTAAAATCCACCCAGCAGTTACTATGCTAAGAACTAAGGAAAGTCAATCTGGCAGAGGTTTTCATTACTTACTTTGATCTAAGAAGTCGCTATCATTATTCCATTTTCCTGCATCCTTCCTCTGTGTTTTAAGGACATTTTTGTTGGTACTTATATCTTAATTGCATTACAGAGTCCCCCAGAGTCTCACTGTGTCAAGGTAATTGCAATGTTATGGTTAAGTCGCCATGGCAACATTTTTTATCTGGCCGCTATAAACTTCAGCAATAAGAAACTGCAAAACAATTCAGCTCACTTTCCACTGAGCAGGCTAGGGGCTCTGGAACCAAATGTGTCCTATTAAATTTATACACAAGCCTATAAAATGTATGTCTACGCGCGTCTGGTATTACCCACACTGTGGGGGTTGAACCCGGTTTACACACTCACACTGTGGGGACTTGGTCTCCCTTGAGGTGTAAGTCATTGAATTTTAGGGTGGCAGCTAGGTTTAAGGTTAGATGTTAGGCAAGTAGTGGTTATGGTTGCATTTAGGGTAAGTCTTCAGGAAGTGGATGTAAGTCAGCGTAAAGTCCTCATGAAGAGAAAAAAAACAAATGTGTGTATGTGTGTGTGCTTGTAAAGAAAGGGGAGGGGTCTGCTTTTATTCAATTATGGACTCCTTTCTACTCAAATCAAGGAAGGAAGCTGTCTCAAGTGTTGACGGGCAGTCTGGCAGAGTGCGGTGAGTCTGGAAGCAAACGTTTATATCTTCAAATAACACAAATATGCTAAACATCCTGTACAATCAGATTCTAAAGAGCAGCAACGGTTGAATCTAGACCTGTAACAAACAACCACAGAAGCCATTTTTTAAAAATTGCACACACATCCTTGTTTGACGCATAAGGCCAGAATCCAAGGATTTAAAATGAATCCCGAAGGACACAAACACATTGCATCTTTGTGAACATCTACCATCTCTCAGACCTGTTTATGTGAACGTGGCTGACACCTTAAAATGAGCAGCAGATTTTACTGCTCTTTCTGCTAGGTATTTACGGTATTTACATTTATCATCAGCTTACTTAAAGTGCCAATATCACACTAATTTCATTTTACTTAAGCTGACGTACAAAAGCATTAACAGTGAAATGTCCATTGATGGAGTGTACGTTTACTTTGGGTTATATAAGGCAGTAGTGTAAGAACTATTAAGAAGTATTTACTGCTTTATGTACTGTTGAGCTGAGGTGGAAAGTAACTAAGTATATTCACTCAAGTACTGCACATAAGTGTAATTTTGAAGTATCTGTACTTGAGTATTTTCATTTTCTGCTTTTTACTCATCACATTTATTGCATAACTTTAGTTACTAGATACTGAGATTAATTAAACAAAATATAGTATAATCATCAGACTTTACTGAACCCTGGTGTGAAATTGACAAGCTCCCCAGCGGTATGTAAATTACATCAAACATTAGCTCTACCTTTACCGGCTGTAACTTTACATGTGATGTACACCATAATACATCAGGAATTATAACCCAATGATATGATATACATTAATGTGAATTTACTCATCACATTTATTGCATAACTTTAGTTACTAGATACTGAGATTAATTAAACAAAATATAGTATAATCATCAGACTTTACTGAACCCTGGTGTGAAATTGACAAGCTCCCCAGCGGTATGTAAATTACATCAAACATTAGCTCTACCTTTACCGGCTGTAACTTTACATGTGATGTACACCATAATACATCAGGAATTATAACCCAATGATATGATATACATTAATGTGAACTGTGCCATTCTGCATGAAGAGTACTTTCACGTTTGGTTCTTTAAGTATATTTTATCCAAATACATTTTACTTTCACTTAAGTAACATTTTCAATGCAGGACTTTTAGAGTATTGTTACTTTTACTTAAGTAAAAAATCTCTGGACTGTTGAGTAGTTTAATGCATTATATTTTACATTTTGATCATATGTTTTGTATGTAAAGGCTATTAAAGGCCAGATGAGTATAAATAAATATATCGCTCAAAGCACAAGTACCTCAAAATTGTATTTGAGTCTTTGTTGCATTCCAGTAGTGACAAAAGGTGGACCAGGTTTCTCTGCTTGGTGTGTGCTGGCTGACAGGTTCAGCTGAGGAATATGAACATTGGTATTAATAATACAAAAGTTTGATCTAAAAAAAGAAGCATCGGGAGAAAAAAAATCAAAATAAAAAGCAAACATCTTGAAGTGGTGGAGAACCAGATGGGCTCTTTAAGAAGTCTCTTTGGCATTTTAAGAAGGCAGTCGCAGAATGATTTCCGAGGAACTTCCAAAAAGTGTGGTACAAAGCCCACAGATATTTAAGCAATATCCATTGCAATTTACTGTTTTATTTACAAACCGAAACATATGTCTCTAGACCTTTGTAGCCCCATCCTCTTCCGACTGTCCTTATTACCACACTGATTTACTGCTGCAGGATTTCTCCCACACTGTTTTCTCTTTCTTTTCCATTCTCTCCCCCTGTTTCTCTGCCTCTGTCTATCTTTATCATCTTCTCTCATCACTCATCTGTCTCCTTCCAGAGCTGCCTGGTACATTACACTCAGCTATTGTTTTTCCTCTTGTGTTTCTGTGTACAATGCTGTCTGTGCCTCTGGGACCACTGCGAGCTCGCATCTGAAACATTTTAGAGAGACACATATTTGCTGTTTTAGAGCACAAAGGGATATGCCACGGCAAAGGCTGTTTGAAGTGGCTTCGTAGGGGGAACCAGAACCAGAGCGAGGGATCTGAGAAACCATAAAGAAACGTTAGCGCAATGTAACTTTGGGAAGGTCGTGTAATCTAATGGAAGCGGGGATTGATTCAATGTGAAGGCATACCCCTTTGAAGTTGGCTCTGTTGATGTTTCTAATGCAATAGCTCTGCTTGTCTGAAACGCAGCATTCCTCTCTATCTTGCAGACAGTGCTGCACTGTTTGACAGGACTGGATGCGTGATAGAGTCTAATCCCGGTGATATCAGGTTGACAGCGCCTCCAGTAACCACTATTTGAAGTGTGAGGCTGGAGACAGCAGCGTTCGACTCCCTGCTCCTTATCTGAAGAAATCATCTGATTTGTGATGTGGGGGTTTCATTACCCTTTTAATATCAAGGTATTCAGATAAACGTCAGCGGAGACTAGAGCACATTGCAGGCTACTTTGTGTATATGTCTCAACAAGGTAAACCTTGCAGACAATGGCAGTCATCATTTTGTTATAAGTGTTCAGGTGCAAAAGTTCTTACAAAGGTTCTCCTGTAAGTGTTTTGCTCGTTTCTGAAGTCTGTGGTGAAACAAGACGTTCCAGCCTCATGTTCAGGTCAGCTCAGCTCTGATCCGTTGACTCGGCCGTTAGAGAATTTGAATGGCTGACTCAGCAGTGAAAATAACTTTCAAGTGATGATTTGCTATTTATAGCGCTGCATAATGTCAGCATCTTTTTGCCTATAGCTGATTAGTGTCCACCTGAAATAAGCAGTGTTTTACATCGACACTACAGATTCTGACTACCACACAAAGATCTGTTCTTCATTTATCTCCAGAAATGGTACTGTCCAGCTGTTCTTCTTACGTGTCGCCCCTGTATCACATTATCACATGCACACACAAATCATATAACCTGCTGCTTGAACATAAGGACATGATATGATGCAACAGTCAACCAGTCTTTCACACTCACACGTGTTCACATGTACACACAAACTAGCTTCAAACTGAGGTGATGTTTAAGGCCAGACACTGTATGTGACACCAACAGCTTGTTTGTAATTGTATTATCATCAACAATGTTCTTAAAAAACATGGGCACAGATTCTAATAATAAACCTATAAAATTGATAACGAGGCTACAAGTTGTAGCATTGACTTTATTAATGGGTAAGAAATAATTGCCTGCTGCTTTATAATCATTTTTGAATTGCTAATAACAAAAATGTTTGGGTTGCCATGTTGTCACTGACTGGACCGTATAACCTTTGACCTTTTGGAAACAGCAGAAGCTGGAGCAAAATTTATTTACTAATAACTTATGAAGCATTTATTAATGGATACTTAATATTTATAACTGCATTGTTTCCAAATAGAAAGAACAAACACCAGTCAAAGGGGCTTATTTAGCAACATTTTACTTCAAGCCCCCTATTTACTATTACTAAGCAGTAAATATGCATTTAATAAATGATTTATAATGGGCCATAAAAAATTATTTGTCATTATAATCTGATATACGTGTTTATGAATAGGAAACATTCTTGTTTGACAAATACTGCATATCAATTAACACTTAAATGTCCTTATGTTGGTTTACAGCTGTTGTACATTATAGTGTGTTATAAACCACTTATTAAATGTTTTGTGTACAGCTTATAAATGCTAAGTTGTGAGGCTAAAGATGGCAACTCAAAAGTCACTATTTTTTCCTTAATTAATGGCCT